CAGACAGGATGATTCTCCTATTCGAATGCTCGCATTGTATGACTGTGCACCCATGTTCTGTCCTGACAGTATCACAACACTCTTTTCAGAGGTGCACGATGATGCCAAGTTAGAGATACTAGTACTGCGGACCACAGGAGAGTCATAACTCAGTGCATTCGTGAGAAGACTTTCTTGTGCTCCTGCCAACACGCGAATATCCTGGAACTGGTACATTCCTGGTGGGGTGGAACAGAGTATTTCTGAATCTGATGACCATGGTAAGCATGATCCAAGCGAATCTCCAATTTTGACGGAACAATCATTGTCTTTACAAGCATGAAAATGACCTGCTAATGTTAAAGTGACTTGACCAGTCATAGGTATATTTGAAGGGGAAATTTTTTGTATATGATTCCATGCACCATCATAGGATAGAACGTGGCTGAGCGTCGAGACTTTGATTCCAACAGTTGCTATGACATCAAGAAAATCAAGTTGTCCAGCAGGAATCGTTGTGTATATGGATGATTCAGAGATCCAAGCGCTCATCTCTGCTGCAGTATGATGAATTCTGCAACGAATTGAAGGATCAAAGATTAGGAATCCTGATCCCCAAAGAGTGATATTATGACCGTTTTGGATGGTTTGGCATGATACACTCTGAAGCTTTGGTAGGGAGTAGGTAAAACTTGACTTTGCTGTTCCTGGTCTCACACCAGAAGTCACAATCAAAGCTACAGATCCTGAAGAGATTGATTCCGGAGACATTGCACCCCCGTATTCAGAATACAGTGAAACAGGAGAAAACCCAGACGGAATGGATGCTCTGACTGAGGTCAGAGAGAACCAAATTGTTCCCTCACATGAAGACATTCCGAGCCTCTGGGAGGGTGAGAAGTCGCTAGATCCTATATTCTGACCCACCACTTCAACTTGAATACTTCCAGTGCAAGGACCATTTAGAGCCAGCTTGGATGAAAAATAAGTTTCGTCAAGATTTGGAATGTCAAAACTAATCTGATCTGTAACGGTGCAAACTTGGATGGCTACTGTTGCATGAATATGTGTTGTAGCAGCGACTCCATAGGAAGTGGTGGATGCTATGGATGTGTCTGAAAGCCACACTGAGGCTTCGTTCGCTGTGTTTCCAATTGATGAGACAACAGATAAATCTCTGTCGTGCAAACGAAATCCAAACAATGTTAGAGCTTTACCTGAGTTTCGAACATTTGCAACTCTTACTGAAGTTAGAAGTGGTAAATCAAATGACAGCAGGTCAGAGGTGGATCCCGCATGTGCATTCGTGAGGATCAATGATAATGACGAAGGTGAAGCTTGGTGATATTTTCCCGCAATTGAAGTCTCAGATATCCATTCACTTTTCTCCGAAGCAGTTCCTGGAGAGATCCGCAAAGCAAGGGAGTTGTCGTAATGTGAAAAATGAATTCCAGTTACCGAAAGACCGGGAATCCAAGAATCCATTTTGTTGTATGACACAGTTGATATTTGAGCCCGCTCCAAGGAAAAAGCGAAACTTGCAGTGCTGAATGATTGCGATGCAGTAACAAAAAGACTTGTTGGACGATTTTTGGTGCTGATTGACAGCCTTTTGACTTCTACTTGAGTTTCAGAATTCCATAAGGTTGCTTCTGCTGAGCTCATTGCCGACCTTGCAGAAAAAGACAAATCAAAATAGCCTGCATTTCGTACCACGAAATATGATTCGATTATTTTCTCGTTATGTACTGACGAGTCTCCTCGAGTCTGAGATACAGCAATAGCATCATAAGTCCCTATCTCAGTGACGGTGCCGATCAGATCTGATGCCGTCAGCGATACTTTGAGGTGTTTCAAAGCTGTAGCTGCAGACGTGCACAGCAACGAAGTTTCAGACATCCAAAATGTGAGTTCCATGCAAGTCCACCCGAGCTTGCTATTCTGTGACAGGGAATTCATTCCAAGAGAGCTTCCAACAAGCGTGAGCATGATTGATCCAGTCGCTGGATAATTATTCCGGTCAAGACGAGAAGAGCTCGGCTTGAGATAACTGACTGCTTGAGTGACACTCCCCACGTTCAAGTTTAGTGTGACTCGAAGTGATTGCGAGCCGCGTTGTCCACTTGCAGTCTTTGACGTGATGGCTGTATCAGACAACCAAGAAAATGATTCTGAAGCAGTTGAACCCTCTGAGCTGGAATGAGTTGTGTCATATCTTGCAAAATTCTGTCCGATAATTGATATCCTTATAGATGACGTAGCGGGGATGTTACATGTTACACCAAGTCCCGATAAAGAGGGCACAGAATAACTGAATGCCCAAGAAAACGTGTTCCAAAGCTGCTGTTGGAGGTTTACAGTCAACACAACAGATCCAGAATCACGAAGAAAGGAATAATCATTCTCAAAGTTCAATCCTGAAGGCACCAGACAAACAAGAGATGATGACGACAACCACCTCGATTCCGAACAAGTTGTCCTTCCAACCCTACCTGATTGACAAGAGTCGACATTTCCAAAGTTCATGCCAACAAATGTCTGAAGAAATGTCAGAACATGAGGTTCAAATCATTTGATCTCACCAAGCTAAATTTTTCAACCGAAGAGGTCCCTCGCGGTGGCGCATTTGTTGGGAATATTTGCAAGATTCTTGGATATCCATCGAAGGAAAATGCATAGGTGATTGTAGACTGGGCCATCCATAATGTTGAGATGATAGAATTTCGATCGCCAACTCCGTATGGAATATGACAAACAAGTTGAGAGTCTGAGTTCCATCTTGTGTACTCGCAGGCAGTGCTCGCCGTATAGTCATGTTCACAATATTTCACAAACTCAGGTCCGTACCATCGCGACCAATCACTCTGAGGAGCCAAACAACCACCCACTCGGGCTTGTGCTGTCACGTCATAAGCTCCATAATCGACACCATTGAGTAGGATACTTCGAGAAATCCCCATAGGACCATTTGACATGACACTGGACATGGTGGGGAAGTCAATTGAAAAGGCTTTGCTCAGGGTATCTTTCAAAACGGCAAGAGTCAACAAAAGAGGGAATTTCGAACGATCAGTGATCCTTGAGCCTGGTGGCTTGCCAATCAAGGAAGTATAAGATAACCACAGTGTGCTCTCTGCTGCTGTCTATAAAACATATGTCATGAACGAAAGAACGAGTATCAGCTTACCTTTTCAAATCGAGCCCGTGAAGTTCCATCATACCTAAGAAAATTTGAACCATAAACTTCAGAGCACGTGGATTTTGTGTAAGAAGGGGCATTCGCAAAGCAAACAAAACTAGCATTATGTATGGGAAGCAAAGAGCTAGAAAAGCTAGTACTACAAGACGATGAATTCCATTGAATGCTAGACATGATTGGAGAGTCGAACGAGAATGCCAACGAAAATGTTGAAGACATTGCAATAGAGCTTAAAGCAAACGATGCAGAACCTTGCAGAAAATCTCCGAAACTACATGTTAAGCTTGTGTCTGAAATCCATCTGGTCGATGGAGAGCTGGTAAATCCAGTTCTCGATGACAACGTTCGTGAAAAGAAGCCAATACTCACACCTGAAATATAGGTTTCATTCGAAGCTTGTATTCCTGTATTGAAACGGGCTTGTTGATAGCCATTGAGAACTAATATGTCGAAGGAAAAGAACGAAGATAATGTACCAATCTAAAATGCAAAGTCAGTCCAACGATTCACTTTTGTAGTTACTTTATGTATTACCTGTTGAACAAACATGGGTACTGAAATGGGGTAAATTCCTCCACTTCCCGTCGTCAAAGAAAAAGCATGTGAGCCTGACACACCTTGCGAAGATCTTGCTGTAAATTGCGTATCCGACAACCAAATTGTACGTAATGTACTTGTTGTGCCGATCCGCAATTGCATCGAAGCGGAATAGACACCATAATTCTTGCCCATGATGGTGAAAGCTTGAGACGAAATACTTGGAACATTGACCAGGCTCGATGCACTGGCCGAAGGCTTATCGTAGGAGAAGATCAGACTTGAAGTTCCGATCTGGTAACTTATGTTCGCTTGTATCTCAAGTGCTGATCGATGCCCGGGAACAAGATTTCCTACAAGGATAGTATCTGATGTCCAAGTAGATGCCAAAGCTGTTGTTGCACCAATTCCAAAAAATGTAGAATCTCCTGATAAGCATTCAGCCAACAAACTTTGGTCAAGTGGATTGCGATATCGTATACACTTGTCATAATACCATCCAACGTTTGTAGTACCAAAGTTTGAACCAATTATGTTGACCTGCCTGACATTTTGTATTCGAGGGGGTCCATTCATTGTGGAGTTTATTGACACCTTGACGGCAGGCTTGTCAAAGTAAAAAGAGTTGACCAAGTCTTTGGAAAGCTCTACTTCGATGTTGATTATGGATAAGAGGACAGCTTTGACAGTACCTACTCCCGGAGGACTATACATGAAAACAGTACTATCAGAATTCCAAACTGACGCATTTGCAGTCGTTGGTCCGATTCTGGCCGATAATTTTGTGGTGACAAGACCGAATTGTTCGCCAAGAAAAGTGACCGTGACTCCTCCTGTTGTTGGAGAATTCTTTGGAACGACTCCCGTGACTTTGGGTGCGTTGTAGATAAAGGTAGCATTTCGAGAAACATTGTACGATTGACCTACAAATGCAACCACGTCGACTGAAACTTTACGACCAATTCTTGGAACCTTGCAAATTGCAGAGCTATCTGATAACCATGAGGTGTATTCACAATCTCTTGGAGGGTCAGTATCTCTAGCAATGAATTGCACATTCATCGAATTGTCATATGTTCCAAAATTTCCACCAGATACTGTTGAAACAAATCCTCCAGCAGTCCCTCCATTCCTCGGCACGATAGCAGATATGAACGGATACTCATAACGAAACAACTTTGCTCGTGTCAAAACAAAATCGTCAATAATTGTTATTCCTACAGAGTGATAGCAATTCATTGGTGTGTCTGGACACACCGGAGCGTCATTTATTCCTGCTGCTACCTTAAGTGTTATGATAGTATCGGAGGTCCAACGGGACAATTCGCACAACGTTGATCCAATTTTGAGCTTTGGTGAGTAATCTGTAGATCCAAAATGATTTGTGTTTAAAAAAATCAAATCTTTGCCAACAGTCAATGCCGAATTCGGTTGTAAAAGAAATACGGAAGGCTGCCTGTAGCTGAAGGACCCTATCAAGATAGAGGACCGTACTGAGCAAAGGATGGGAAGAATTGTGACCTCACCGATTGTTTGAAGGTGAACTCGAAATTGTTGGACAGAGACAGAGGATAATAGATCGAATGACAAACTGATTTTTGTCTCTCTGGGAACAAATGACCATTCGCTGACAATCAGTTCTAACGTTCCGTCCACCTTTCGCCAAATTCCAGAGTCCCATGCTCCGCCTTGGCCAACAAAAAAACCTGCACCTGAACCTGGCAATCGTGCTGGTGACAAAATCTTGATTGGAAACTTTGGGTTATCCGGATCTTGAAATCCGACAAGACCAGAAATCAGCAAGCTAGTTCCATAATTCCATATTACGTTTGACATGAATGTTATGGTGAAAGTGACAATAGTAGATCGTTTGTCCGTATTCCACTCCAAATTTGCATACTCGAAGGCTGGGACTTTCAGAGAACACAAGCATGATCGATTACAAGGAAGGGCATCCGATGAAGAAGTCAGAATAAATGAATTCACATTGAAAGGATAATACTGTGAAATCAGAAACGACTTGCAGCTGGATGCGTTGGGATTGAGTATACTGAATGAAAATGTTGCATTCTCAAATAAAGCATGACCATCTCTCAGGACGACAAGCAGCGTGCCCTCATTCTGCTTCCAAGTTGTCTTTGCAGAATCAAACAAGCCAGCATGTTTGCCTTCAAGCAATAGTCTCCATGCTTTACAGTCTCCTTCAGGTTTGGAGCATGGAACATCTTCCGTGAGAAAGTTTGTGAAACCTTGCAGTAGGAATTGAGCTCCAGGCTCAAGCATGAAGTTCCCAGCAATGGTGACCGAGAAGTTATTGTACCCAGAGGTGACCTCAGAGCTCCAAGAAATTAAGGAAGAGGTCAAAGAAGCGTTTTCAATCGGTGAAACTTTTGAAGGAATTGTAGCATTAAAATTCATCGCCCCGTACGACGAGATCTACGAAAAATCAGCATCAGTATCACAAAGAAACTACGTTTGAGCTTACCGTTAAATTGTCAACCACTTCAAAACCAGGATAAGGATTCCGGAGTTCAAACCAAAGGGAAATCATTTGATCCTGATCGATTGAGTGACCTTCTAACAAGACGAAGGAAAGAGCATATTCTTTATCCGAGAACGATACATCCCCGAAAATTGATGAGGCAGGGTTGACCAAAAGAATTTTGCTGTTGTTTCGCAACATCTCAAAACCAAGGAGCGGGTGCAGCACAAAATTAGTTGGACCATAAAGAAGTGAGTTAACAGCGAAAGTGAGTTTCAAAATAGTTGCTGAGGAAAACACTCGGTTTGAACTTTCGAGTGAAATATAACTGAACGAAAGACTTGCATCAATCTTTGATATTTGACCTGTCATTTGCTGCCGATCGATCGATTGCGGACTGTTTGAGGAAACATAGGTGGTGAGAGGTTCAACCATGTACATTGAATTGAGAAGGGTGAACGAAAATTGGAGAACCTCCAGAGGATAAATCTCAATATCATTTTTGAGATAAACGATCAGAATGCCTTTGTTTCTATTCCAGTCTACCATGGCAATACTATCTTTTGATTGACCACCTGTATGGAAAATTTCCTCAGACTGAAAGTTTGTCAACCCAGTGATAGTAAACGCAAAACAAAATGAGGCGCTTGAACAACTGTGGTCTCGTACGTCAAAATTGATGCTCAAGGTCACAAATATGGTGTTCCATCCACCAAGAACATTCGACGTGGTATACACACTTGCAGTCACAAATGATGGTGGGCCTATTGGTTCGATTTGAGCTATTTCAAAATTTGTCTTTTGAAATGGAAGAACTCCGTCGACAGCAACGCTGACAATCCTTGAACCTCCAATTCTTCCAGTTTGAACTACATCAATCATGAATACAAATTCACTTGGGGAAGGCGAAATTGTTTGTCCAGCCTTCAGCGCTACGAAAAAGTTTCCGTCTGAAAACGAGGCAGAATTATCATCCAAATAATAGTTGTTTGTCATGATGACTACGCTCCCAATAGAAACCAATATGGGCATTGCTGGAATTTCCTTCTTCAGAGTGGCCAGCTTCGTCTTGCCGAAATAAGATTGAATTGAAAATCTCCAGAAAGGTTGGTTGGTGTCATTGAAGAGGATTAGAAGTATCATGCCCGTGTATGCTCCATCGACTGATGAAGCGGTTGCATCCAAAGTGACCAGTGCACTTCCGTTTGAAAACTGTGCTGTACCACTGTACACTGACTCCCAAATCTTACTTTGTATTGTAGAACTATTGCGCTGATTGAACTCGAAACCGTCCAAGCCCTCTATGATTATTCTTGCCGGGGAGACAAGGAGTGCATTGAAAACAAGTGTGACCGAAATATATGTAGAAGTATTGTAAACCTGAGGCGAAGTGGTGATCTCAGAAACCAAAAACTTTGGGAGCGTGTCAGTCTTTAAGACCAGTCCAATCATTGTCTGTTCGGCGATGAAGATCACTCCAGAGCCTCGACCCGAGGATGAAATCAAAACTTTGGATCCATCCTGCAAATAGTGTCAGAGGAAAGCAATATTGAGCACAGAAAGATTACATTCAGCTTGTAAGGATTTCGAATCTGAAATGAAAAGATCGTAGGAGTTTGAACGGTAAGGGTTCGTGATCCGACAAAGCTAAGAGTGACGTTTCCAGCCTCCTCGTTCCAACTTGCATGACTGCTTGTAAAAGTGCCAGCGTTCGGACCAGCCAAATCAAGATACTCCCCAGAAATGTTTGCCGTCTTGAATCCAGCATCTTTGAATCCTGACAGTGTTATTTCGCTGGGTGCTCCGATCGTCGCAGTTGCTGCAAGAGACACAGTTATTGTAGTGATTGCTCCAGCAACACTCGACGAAGATGAGATGTTCTTCATCCAAAAGTAAGGCTGGAATTTACCATTAAGAAGTGAGCAGCACGACGTAGAATATTCATTGCAGCATGGAAGAGTCGACGCGTCAAATGTGCATGCAAGTATCGATCTTCCCATCTCATCCACATCAAACGTTTCCATGTTCATGCACTCTCTTTCAATTGGCATGTAACCATCAGAAAATTTGGTAAGATTTCGAAGCGGCGCATCCCAGCTTCCATCCACAGTGCTCTCAATGTAAGCAATTGCCTTGAGGTTTTCCACTTCACTGTTCCTCAATTGAAACGAAAGCACTGTTGCTATATCTGACCGCATTCTTTTGTCCTTGCCAATGGTTAGAATGATTGTGCCTGCGTCGACATTCCATGGGGCCAGTCGAACGAAAATTTGGTCTCCTTGCGATATTTCAATGAGCGATGAAGGCGTACTTGAACCATATAGCCCCGAAATAGTAATTTTTTCACCTGGAAGCAAATCACCATTTGGCAACAAAGTGACTGTTAATAAAGTTGTGGCATAGCTGACAGAAGAGCTTGATGCAATGTCCTTGATCAAAAACTTCGGATAAGAATTGGACGGTAGAATCGAATTTTTAGCTATTGTTTTTGGGATCGCAACAGTACTCGTATTTAAAGCAATGGAGACATATTGTTGAGAGATAGCTAGATCATTGTTCCTGAGAGAGAAATCGAAGGAAATCACTCTTGAAACTCGAAGAACCTCCGCGCTGTTGGCCCAATAAAGTCCAACACAATTTTCTAATCCTCCAGGTGTTGCAGAGGATTTACCCACCAAGAAACTGAGCTGAACTCCTCCACTGCATTCGAAGTAGATCGAGTTCGCTTCGTCGAAGCACAGCAAGACCCAGTCAACCACTCCCGAATAATACCCACTTCCTACAGTTTCAACGGTCACCTTCGATAGCGAACCGTTGGGAAATGCAGAAAACGAAGCAGCAAACCCACTGCCGACATTCAAGGTAGACAACTGCAATCTCCCAGTAGATGTTAAGTTCGCACCAGCATTGACTATGATAACTTCTTCAATGCCAGATCCACATCGACAAGACGTATCATTTGTGACTAGGACTGGTTTCGATAGGTAGTCCTGACCATTCTTGGTGAGTCGCACATTCAAGATAGCACCGTCTGATACTTCATAGAAACCTTCAAACCCCGAACCATGTGGTTCAACAGCAGATAAAGTCCCAGGAAATGAACATCCATGCATGTAGAAGGAAGTCAAATCATTCTGAACATATACTTTCGTAATGGTGTATGTCATGCTGACATCCTTGTTTGCAAAGTAGAAATCAAATGAGAAGTCGGCAAAGTACCCATAACCTGCACTGAGAATGTTGATCAACTTGATAGATCCTTCTGGGTTTACCACAAAATCAGCTCGAAATCCCCGGCCGCTGGCATTGTGGATGTGAAGCCTTCCATCCTCATACCCCCAGCCCGGGCTTGCGATTATCAATTCGTCCAGATTTCCGACACCCTTGATAGTACTTCCTGTATTGAGATTGCACGTAATGCTCCCTGACTGCTGATTCCAGGCTGCAAGCGAGTTCGTGAAAAGGGATGCATTTGCACCATTCAAAAGAATCGATGTCGAATCCACACTTTCAATGCCTTGAATTCCTTCCACAGCTAAAACAGCGGGGCCTTCTATGTCAACGTTTGTTGATAGATAGACAGTGAAGGTATTGACACCAAATCTTACGTTGGAATTTGATTTCACATTTGTATAGGGAAATGAAGGATAGGAATCTGCGAGTAATGCAAACCCGTTCATGCTCTGTATCTCAAAATTAAGAAAACCAGTTGCACTGATCGAAGGCGTCAATGCAGCTTGTGCATTACGACTATTCCGCAGTCTGATCTCAAATACAATCACAGTACCCGAGCGGATTTTAGTGTTTGAAGATAACATGAGTGATCCGTCCAACGGCAAACAAATTCTCTGACCATTTGCTGGCATTGGAGTACATCCTGCTAGTGGTAACCATACAGCCTTTCCAGGAGAAGAAACATGCACAGCATAATCTTGCCCTGTCGAAATTATGTACTCAGGCTCATTGTATATGCTGAACCCAGCTTGGACAACTGTGAAAGCGGTGTCTATATACAACGTACAACTTTGAAGAGAGATGATCTGAACGATTTGCCTTGACTCATTTTTTATGTTGATGTAATATCCCAACTTCACACAGTCACAGGCATCCAATTTGATATTCCGCGGATTGGTGTCTAGAATTCCCTTGACTGTCCCATTACAGAGTAACCCATACGTTTTGTTGGTCATGTTGATGAAATATGACGACGTGAAAATCGATGAAGCGGGCCCCAGCAGTTCAAGCTCGAGGTTCTGTACTGTTGTTGAACCCTTCAGACCTGAGATAGTGACGTTAGTTCCAGGTTCCATGTCAGCATTCGGTCGGAACTCGAAACGAAGAGTTGTCAGGCCGTACAGAACAGGCGACGAGAAGTTGACAAAGGTATAATCAAATCTGGGTGCGATAGTAGAGTTGAGCGCAAACCCGTCCATCCTCTTTGGTGAGATAGGAGTTCTGCCTTGTAACCAGATGACAGGAATGATAGGAGGCTGTTTTGTCAAAGGATTCTTGATTTCAAAGGATATCTCAAGCAAATACCCTGCAGTCAGTCGTGCCCCAGGAGCAAGCGAAAGATTGAGTCTCCCGTAACTTTGATTCCATGAAGCAGTCATGTTTCTGAACAGAATTGCGTCTTTCCCAGAAAGCGGTAGATTATCAGAACTTGCTGTCGGACTCTTCAAGAATCCATCAATGATGAAGTTCGAAGAACCCAAAGGGCTATAGTAGGGTAAATTTGAGTCAGTCTGAAATCCCATGATAAACGTATCGATTGCAATTCTTACGACGTGGACGTTTGCTCCTCCAATAACCTGTATGGAATCGATGATGCTCACGAGTAGAAAGGAAGCAAACGAGCTTGATTGCAACAAGCCTCCATAAGAAGATTGCATCTGCAGTACTACGTCTTTTTCCACTCCGACGCCATTTGATACTGCGCAGATCATGCTGGTGTCGCTCGACCATCGAGAGTACTGGCAGAAAGTTCCCCCGACTGAAATCAGCGAGGACGTGTCATATTCACCCAACGCCGATCCAAATAACGTGATCTCGGCGGCCGATGGAAGAGCCGAAGGAGGTCTTTCGGGAGGAACGATTTTTTGGAGCACTGCCGCATCATATGTGAAGATTTCAGACAAAGATCTGTACTGTTCAGCAACAGTTGCAGTCACAATCAGATAGTAATCGTGCCCTGCACAAAGCTTTGCAACGGTCGACGAGTCAGAGATCCATGCAGTCAGCTGTGCTGAGCTGCGACCAACGCGAGTCCGAGGACTTTGATCAAAACTTGACAAGCTGCTTCCGTCGAAGGTGATATAGGCTTCTCCTCTTGTCGCTGAGTTCGATCCAGGAGAGTTTCCATCAAGTTGAGTTTGATCCGAGCAATTTAAAAGCCATCTTTCCCAAAGCGTTGCAGGCAGAAGCTCAAGTACTGCTGATTGAGAACTCCAATTGGTTGATAGAAAGAAATTGTACCAATAGGAATTATTGCACGACCCTTCCGTAGTAGAATTTAGACAGGTAGATGCAGCAATCTGATTGACAACTTGCTCTTGAATACATGATTCATTCACATATTGAAGCGTGTAGTTCCATATAGTCCCATTTGATGATTTCAAGACCGCGACATCATATGAGACTGTTCGCGATTGCGTGTAATACAACTGATTCATACTTGCCGTCAATTTCCAGTTCCTTCCTATCCCACGAGCAAAGTAGCAATTGATCCTGCAAAAAACATTCAACGTGAGCCGATGCGTGAAGGAAAGTACCTGGTATCTGAAGTCCACAGCGTGTGTGATGCAGATGTCCCATCAACGCGAAGTCCAAGAGAATACAAACTAGTTCCAAAGTTGCTTGCAGAAATTGAGATCCCACCCGCTTGCGAGATGTTCGGCTTGCTCCCCAAGGTAGGTATGTTACTTGGAGAAATCAAGGAAAAGGCGGGGGAGTCATAAGAGAAGAGCTGAGACGTTGTTGAAATTTGGAGATCTGAGGTGATTCTAACTTGAGAGAAAAGCACGGGATTCAACCCTGCAGGAACTTTGCCATAGATGACGATATCACTCCTCCATAGGGTAAACTCACTGGCAGTCTTATGAAGATTGCTTTTCAGACTGTTTGCATGTGACCCTAAGTTTGAACCGAAAATAAGGAATGGATTTCCTCCTTCGCAGGGGAAGTTTGGAATCATTTCAGGCAGAGAAGGAGCAGTGAACACATCATGGGCGTGTGAGACGAACTGTGCACTTGGAAGATCGTATGAGAAAACTTGACAAGCGGAGCCTCCACCTCTTGAAATTCCTTGAATTGTGATAGAAAAGTCAACTCCTGATCCACTTCCCTGAGCGACTTTGACAAGGATGAAAGTGTCAGAAATCCACGCGGTGGAATGTGCGACGGTACCAAGGCTTGCCCTGGGTGAGCTGTCAACTATGCCTCCAGATATTAAGATTATGGCCCCGTAAACGTTCCCTAGCGCAGGAGAATTGATACCTGGAACGATATGTGCGTATGAATCATTGTGTGATTGTGGATCAAGAAGAGAAAGCAGCGTCAGGGTGTCTTGAATGCTCGCAACATCATACGAGAATGCGCTGAAGAACGTGGCCCTTTGGTTTGCGATCGTGAGTTGAAGGTCCAGATTGTCGGATAGACCAAAACTTGGCTTTACCCATATTATCGAGTCCGATATCCAATGGGTGGCTGAAGCTGCGGTCAACCCAACGCGAACAGAGGCTGATGAATCGAATGAGCCATATTTCGATCCTGGCAGACTGAGCAGAATGCGATGCTCGTCAGGGCCAATATTCTGTTGAGAGGCCGCGGTGCTTCCGGCAGAAACGTTCAGTTCGGAGGAGTTAAGTGTTCCTCCGTAGGTGAACAGAGCACGTTCGTAGCGAGTGTACTTCCCATAGGCGGAGAGCTGGCTAAGATGTTTGCAAAAGTCTGCATGTCCTCCTGTCATGAGATCCGTCAGCGACTGAGCATCAATGTCCCCTGAACTCAGAGAGGCGAGATAGCAGGAAATGTTGGACTGCAATGACGAGCCAACAGTGACCGCGATTGTCAAGTCCTGGCCCACGCCAGATGAAACTTTGCAGGTCAAACTTGAATCAGAGAAATAAAAGGTGAATTCGCATGGTGTCAAGCCGATGCTGGCCTTGGGTGTGCTCGAGAAGAAGCCAAAGGAACTTCCAGTCAGTTCAACTTCTTGGTGTGAAGATACTACTCTTGTTGAGTTCAGGACGACTGGAGCATGATAAGTGAAGGCAGACGAGAGATATCCTGTTTGATTGCCTACATCGACCTTGACAATCAACGAGTGTCCCGTACCCTCAACAGTCTTGCAATAAACGAGGTCATCGGAAAACCAGCGAGCACTTGTACATTCCGAAATTCCTATGAAAATCCGTGGAACCAGCAAAGAAACATACCCTAGCGTTTGGCAAACAGTAACATTCTTTTCATCTGTCTTGCAATAGATTTCTTTGGTGTTGAGTTTCCCGAAGTTTTTCCCCCTGATCCACACTTCTTGTAGACCAAACGTAGGAGAACAAGCTGGTTCGATTGAGAAGATGGACGGAACATCGAAGGAGAGGATACCTTCTGACGTCAACTCTTGGTCAGAGACCTGAACTATGATTTGGAGTTCCTTGCCAAACCCAGCCGGTGCTCTGCAGATGAGACAGCTCTCTGAAGCCCAATGTGTGAATGGGCAAGAAACGAGACCATTTGGCCTCATGACTAGCAAGTTTGGAGTGTAATCCTGAGCTCCAAAATTGGAGCCGATCACCGTCAAGTTCACCATGCCAGTGCCTGGAAGATTGGAAGGAGCAAGCTGATGTATTCGCATGCTGGCAAAGGAGAAGGACGAAGATAACGTTCTGAAACATGCAGGGCCGTCAGAGAGCCAATTGTGGATACACTGAAGGTCACCCGAGCATGTTAGACGAGGAAAGCATAACAGGGAGGTCCTTGCCAACTCCTGAAGGGACTAGAGACGTCAGCACCGTCTCGGATGTCCAATCAGTGCTTTCGCTGGACGTTTTCCTATTCATCGATAAAGCAAGGGAGATTATCAAAAGTGAGCAACGCGATGAAACATCTCGTACCCTGTCCTAGATTTGGAAGAAGTTGAATACAGGCCAAAATTTGTGCCAAAGATGGAAATATTTCCACTTGACTCAAGGTGAGCAGGATCACTTCATTAGACAAATAGCCAATTACCTCGTGAAGTTGCTTGCAAAGGAGATTGTAGCAAATGAAACCTCGGGTGTATCAATCGAAACACCCATATGAAGACTCCCCGTCAGAATGCCTTTAAAGAATGGTCAGAGGACTAAGACGTGAGCAAGGTATGATCACCAACTGTGACGATTTGTCGGCGTGAACTATGCTCTCTTGCACTTGCAAACCTGCGATGCTTTTCAGAGTCTTTTACTTCTTCATCGCTCGCATGTTTCATTTCCCAACCTGACAGTCAAGCTTGTGTCTGTGATCCATTCTGTTCTTTCACTTGCACTGCATGAAGAGCTTCGTTGAGATTGATCAGTCATGCCAAAATTGGTGCCCCAGATCATCAAGTCCTCTTCGCTGTGCGTGGCAGTGTTGCCCAACAGATAGGGGACAAATCTTGAGTTTGCGTTGTCATATGAAAATGATTTAGTGAGAGAGCCTGTGACCAGAACAATCAACATGACAAGATGTATCGGGATAAAACACCGTCAACTAAATTTGACGTGACCACAGCTGTCAATGAGCTTGAAACGCCAGCAGCTGTGGGATGTTTGAGACAGATCCACAACATATATATATCAATCAACCAATTTTGCAAACAATCGTTGAATCAGATTTCCAAATGGACGTTTCGATTGTGGTGAATCCAAACTTCGATGAAAGTCAATGACAAGATCATCAGAAATATGACAGACATCGTACCATCACCCTGGGTGTCACATCCCAGATGACAAAATCCTTGCCATGTAAACCAATCATGCCGGGGATGGGAGGCTTGTCTATGTACTGCCCCTACAGATCAGAGAGAAAATAGATGAAACAAAGAATCGTGACACACAAATGAGAGGATTGGACTCCTAGCTGACCCATGAGTTGGCAAGTTGCTTGACGTCACATAGCTATCGGATCTTCGTCAGCTGCCTCTTCTCCACCCCCTCCACCCTCATACCCTTACCTGCACTCGCCCCAGCAGCTCTCAACGCAGAAGCCGCATGCGGAATCCCACACGCACCACCCATGATTAAAGCCCCCGACTGCATAGGTGGCACAGTCACCCCACCAGCTGTGTTCGCTAGCAAGCCATGCTTCGTTTTGATCGGTTCGTGGAAGTGAGCCAACCGCCTCTAATGTTGGCCCATCAAATTCTACAATGCCCTGTGCCAGATTTTCAGTATGAAACTACCTGCATGGTGAACAGAATCTTGCCTGCACGACAGGCGTGTCAGGAGAGGGCAAGCTGATCGCTTCATATGGCCTCGTCTGCAGGCACGTGACTGTCGTCTCGTTGAGCCATGCGGTGGAGCGGCATGGCGTCCCACCCAGCACGAGAGCGGGACTTGCATCGAGATTTTGACCGAAGAAAGTGAAGACGAGAGGCTGTACTGTATGCCATGGTGCGTTGGATGGAAGAATATCTGTTGAGTTCAGTTGAAGGTGATCAAATGTGATCACAGATTCGACAAGAACCAAACACAAGATGATGAGACGGAACTTCATAACCTGTCAAAGTTAGCAGCCAAGAATATGAAATTACATCCAGGGAGAAAAAGGGTGACCAACCCTTACCCTACAAGCTCGATATGAACCATTACGCCTCATCCTCCAAGCTCGCCCTCACCCTCCCAAGCATCACACATGGGATGGGACTCTCTGGTGTAGAAGTGTAGGGCTTGTATTTTGAATTTGCATTGATTATTTCAAATTTTCGCCTTCTATTTGACATTTTGTCGGAACATTTGGGAGCTGCTCGTGGACCAGCTTGTCAATCAAGTTTGACTCGTATTGGACGTTGCATTATCCGTTACATTCCTGGATTGTGATCCTGTATATTATATATTATTATAAATCAAGAAGTATTTTTAGTAATAAAAGTATTTTTTGCAGTAGAGCGGAACTTGACAATGCAAACTCAGCAAGGAGACGCGAGCAAGCAAGCTTCGTCTCAAGGATGAGACCGGTGAGAGCATACAGCTCGAGAACGAATGCGGATAGAATGGCAGGTATGCGAGAGGGGACGAGCAGAAACAAGAGGAGAAAGAATCTGATACCAAGACATGACGAAAGATCAGGACCTTGACGTGAATGGCGATTGGCTGTCAGGCTACTCAAAGATCCACGAAGGCATTATCTCAGGCACATTTCCAGGTCAGAGTTTCTGACAGAACAAAGCTCCCTCTCGTCATATGAATTGATTTAATCTCAGCTCATCGTCGTAGATTTGCCGTCTGGACATGCTCGGAGCTCAACGTTCCTGTGAGCCCTGAATCAACAGCGCGATGTGCAGGCAGGCAGGTAAACTTTAGAGACCTAGCTGACACTTGAGCATGCAGGCTTGGCCAACCGCCTGTTAGGCATCATCTCTGCGTTCCTCTATGCCATCCTCACTGAGCGAGCGCTGATCATCGAGTGGCCTGGGGACGAGGCCTCTCACCTCGCAAACTTTCTGTATTCTCCTTACTTGAGGTGGAACGCAACGAGATCAACATGGTCCCATTTGGTCTCCTCCGCCTCTCGCGACCCTTTCTGATCCCTGACAGGACGCTATATCTCTTGACACACGTGTGGGATCTGGACGAAGTGGATGGCTGGGCGTGCGACGGTCAACTGAAGATGATCCTATCGCATCTTGACAGTGACGCAGAGAGTTACGAACTTTCCATTGGCTGAACGACCACAAAGCTTCTGTTGTCAAGCTCACGCTCTTGGAAGGTCCAATAGTATGCGAGAAGTGTGATTAGACTGAAATACTGCTTCAGGTTACTTTGATGATCTTCTACAAAACCCGAATCTGGCAGCTGCCTGTCTGTATGTCTACCAGCTTCTTCCGAGTGAACAGTTTAATTTCTCTTTAGCTACGGTCTTAATCTCAAGACCTCGGACGAGGTTTTGGGACGTTTGGGAAGAATTCTTTTTCATGCCCACAATTCTCTCGACGATGACATCATGGCGCGATCTGTCGGCAGTACTTTTCGTCTGGGCGTTCAGATTCGCATCGGCATGGTGAGACAAACAGGACGAGCCTGGAACCAGAGAAGCTGAATTGTGCAGTTCGAGGCAGGAGCTATGGGGATCGGAATGACCGAGCTTGAGCGATTCCGTGTGAAGCTCCTAAAAGTCCTTGCCAAACTTTCCCAAAAGCATTCCTCGACCTTGATCGTCCTCGCCTGTGACTCCTTAGAAGTATCTGACGCAGAAACATTCAGAGTTGAACTTGCTGTCAGGCAATAGCGCTCGCAAAGAGTTGGAACCTCAACGTAAACGGAATGACTGTCAGAATTTCAAGCTCCTCCTCCGCCATCGGAAGGTTCCGATGCTTCGTCGAGCGCTGAGCTAACATGCGAGCAGTGTTGACTTCAATCAATCCTCGGCTATCATGGCAAGTACAATCTTCGACTTCTGGTCCCTTGCGGTTTGCGATGAAGTTTTAGTATCTGTGAGCTGACGGGGAGAGGCACACGGATATCTTGACGCTGCTGCGAGCAGGTACCGTCGACCTTTGGTCTCGTCGCAAGGTTGTTGAACCTCACAGGAAGTGTCGAGCACTTCGCGTTCCTGCGATCCGATTGGGAGGCTGTTGTGAGTGATCGTTAGCTTACCCGGGAGCCGCTCACTCGATGGCAGTTGTGGAACAAATACGCTGCCATTATGGCTGAAGGTGAGGAGGAGCGAGAGCTGCTTGTTGCTAACAATTCACAGATGAGCATGTGGATTATAAGAGAATATTTGGAAGAGCTTTCTGCAGTACAGTAGGTTGGACCGGAGATCTCTGCCTGCATGAGGAGGTAGACTTTGGAACTTGAGAAACATGAGGTCGGCAGTCAATAGTCAAGTCACGTGAAAACTTTACATAGACGTGAAACGCTGAATTTAACAAGCATTATGACTTTTGTACAATTATCTGCATTTCAGTTAGGAGACTACCGAACAGTCACGACTTCGGACGACTTACTTGCGTGATGGCGGAGGAGCAAGGCTTGGAACAGGTGCAGCCTTATGTATCGTCAACAGCGGTAGCAAAACACGCTTTGGCATTCTCACCGGTAGAGGAGGCAATGGGTTGGAAGATGCCTGCGGCGTAGCTTCTATGCTCACCAGAGTAGGAGGAGGTGCGATATTCTGCTGCTTGGGCTCCGTTACGCCGAGAGCATACTCATGAAGACTCTCCCCAAGGACTTGAGCCTCATCATCGTCATCTCCAAGTCCAAAGTCTTCGTCATCCAGATCCGGTCCGTCCGCCAGCCCCATGTACCTCGCCGAAGACCCTCCGCCAAACCCTCCGAAGAAGTTCGAACTGGCATGGGCCCCACCGCGGAAGAAGTCAAGGCAGTCTGCCGCAGATGTCCATGGATCAGCGAAACCCTTTCAACAATTATCAGCCTGAAGAGAAACAAGCAAGAGAATTGATCACCTGTTCTTTTCGTCGGATGTACGTGAACCACGCGAAAACAGTCGCTAAAGCCACCATGGCGAACAAGATCACCATTCCAGTTCGACCAAAACCAGGACAGCTCTGGATGACTGGTTCCAATTCACTTGCTACAGAACCGCCGACACAGGAGTCTCCCGGAACCCTTCGATAGCCCTAGAGGACTACGTAAGCGACGGGCAAGTCAAGATATCACTCAATACCTTGGTGATCACAAAGTATCCGCTGCAATCCTGAGGAGCTCCAAACCCGACTTCGGGCATATCTGGCACTCGCACACACTCCTTCTTCTCATTCATTTGAAACCCAAAGTCGCACTCGAAGTCAACACGTGTGCATTCGCAGTTGACCTTCGATTCCCGTCGATCGTAGTCCCATCCGTTGAAACACTGCACAGCTCGTTTCCTTCTAGTGTACGTCACTTTCCTGCCGAGCAGACAGTTGCCAGAGCGCAAAGCATCAGCAGGGGTCCATTCTTCATAGTCACTTGCATCAGAGCCTGGAGCATTGATTCCTGCACACCGCCTCTCATGCAGAGTCTCAAAATTCAGCTGCATCAAAACTCCCTTGTCGTTTCGGCGGCCATACAAAATGAAAATCTGACTGGTACCCGAGGGTTCCGTGATGATATTTTCCACCTCGATATGATGTTCCCAAAACTTGAAATCTGTCCAGTTGAGCCCTTCATTCCACGAATACCTGACCGTGTTCGTCGCCTCTCGGTTGTTTGCCATAATCATCAATGCACCGTGGTCTCCGAACTCATAGATAAAACTTCCTTTGGTTATTTGCTCCCAAGTTCGACCGGCATCACGGCTGAAGTATGTATTGATTTCATCTTGCCTTCGATGAAGATGATGCCCGACATTCCCAGTGGCCATTATCAACCCAGTCGAAGATACCGAACTGTAGACAGGACCCAGGAATCCCGATGTCTTTCCATTCAGATGAAGAGAACAGCCATCACACTAAACGTTCGATCATTCTATGAGTCAAGTTTCGACACACCATAGAGATTTGAAATTCACCACGATCGGTCTTCCAAGGTGATCATTTGTCGGTGGCGTCAGATCTTTCCACATCGCGCCTTTATCATAGGAAATCACAGTCTTCGTCGGAACCATTCCATCTTCCTGTGGGCAAAGAAGATCAAATGTCACAAAAAGTGCTTAACAGAAATAAAGAAAAAGACTAGAAAGTTAAATTAATCTTGTGTGTTAGAACCACATTTAGGTTTAGAAATACCGACTGGAGACCACCGAACAGTTTCAGTTCTGGCTCTACGCTGGTGTCTGCGACGTTCGCTATATACACTCCGTCGACACCATTGATCCGTTCAAAATCACTTAGGCCGCGATAGTCTTTGACAACAGCTCTGCAAATCGGTAGGGTGATCATGAAGTACAATAAGTCTTACATGCACAACCTGAGGGACAGGGTGTATGAGCTTCCTTCTGGGCCAGACATGTAAACGTTAGCAAATTGTCTGTCCCTTGAGCTATGCGAGACTTGCACAAACACGGATCCTTCCTTGGAATCAACAACACGGTATGACCTCTCGGACAACTGCATTGCTGTCAAGACTCTTGTTAATTAACTCCAAAGTAACCTGATAGGGAAACTGAGCAGTCTTAAACATCTTGCCACCATCCGCACTGACGTGAAGCTTGACTTCTAGCTCCTCTTCCGGATTCATAGCTGCCACGAACCAATATGGGCGGTGTAAAGCAAATCGATTTCCGTGCGGTACTACTATGTCGCTATTCTTGAAGAAATCGTGTGAAATCACAAAGTCCACATTCGGATCCCATTCCGCAAAATTCTTTTTTGCCGGTGCATCCTGCTTTCGAACGCATGCAAAAATGGTCTTCTCATTGAAACCTTTGATCTTGGGATCTGCCCACTCAAATTGAAAAACTCTTGACACTATTTTTTTCCAGCTTTGACCAAAGTCAACAGAGAGAAAAAGAGAAAGGTATCGATCTGGAAATGATCCTTCATATTTACTCGCAAGGATCCATTCAGCTTGGCTTGGGTGTAATTTGATCTCATTCATGATACCAAACTCTCTCTTCGTATACGTTTCCCCTTGGTTCTTGGTGAACCAATTGCTTTCACCATAACCTTTCATGACGGCGTACTTGGGATCAGCATGACTGAATATCATCTGTTGGATTCGAGTCTGATATTGCTCCTCATCAGTTGAGACCATCTTGTCTCGCTGACTGACCCAATTCATCCCATCATCTACACTTCTATAGATACTGCCTCGGGCCGATCGAACAAAAACTGTCTTAGCATTTGGCTTTGCATCCTTCAACGTACTATTCACCCACTGCATGTCAGTGACCTGACTGTCAATGAGGAATGGCCTCGAAGTAGTTATCTTGCCACCATTCGCCAAGCAAGAAAAGAGGAGAAAGTAGCTGAGGATGGAGAGCCTTCCTAAATTCATGTTTGCGCGCATATGTTGAATCAGCTTTAGCACTTTGTATCCATTCCAAGTTTACTCATGTCTCGTCCAAACCTAGTAAACAACCATTAATTCGTTTCATGGTTACATACTTTGAGGTATGTTGCACGAAATCAAGCATCTGGTCTATCTCTTCAATGACATCAAATTGCTTCAAATTACAAGAGCCAGAACAAGAGCAAGAGACATCAGCCTGGACGAGAGAAGAGGGGACATCATCGTTTCGCACATGGACATTTGAGGATGAAGCACTAAATGGAATGCCCGAGAAGTGATGTCACAAACTGAGTCACAAAGGTGGCGCAGCTACAGCCAAACCATTTTCAACAGGTCGCAACAGTAGAGGTTGAGGCTCTCAGAGGAGAGGAGAGAGCACGACAACTCAGGACAACTAAGAGGTCAAGGAGGTAATGCATCAGCGAAAGGAGGAGGAGAAGGTTGCAAGCGATCAGAGCCATTTTCTTGGCTCGACCGCCTCATGACAACCACGCTGCCATGCCAGCTGTCCTGGTGACGAAAACGTCTATCACAATGGGGGTAGGGTCAAATTTATTGCAACGGAAAGGGTAGGGTGGAATTAACCACAATTGTAGTGTAATAAACTAGGGTGGGGTATATCACCCCACCCTGCTTTTTTCAAGGACTGGCAGCTTGTGCTTAGGGTGGCTTGCCTCTGGTAGGGTCCATAGGGCAGAGCGGGGAGGAGGGCATCACAGTTGCGCGGGGATGAGGGCGAGACTGGCGGCCATGGCAGGGTAGAACAGATAGAGAAAGATGAGGACTCGGGAGACAGACAAGACGGAGAGAGGACGGTGAGAAAGCGAGGTAACATTAAGATGGTAGAATGTGAGATGGTGAAAGTTAAGATGATAGAATGTGGGTAATGACTCAAGACGTGGAGTAGACGAGAAAAAACATGCAAGCCGAGCACATGTACGAAGACCGTCCTTGACAGCATGAACAGATAAACAACATTCAGCCTCGTGGATAGCTTCTCTTCTTACTTTTTGGCTGACTATATTGAAAGAGGTGAAGTGGAAGATTCCTCGTATGATCAGATCTGCTATTTCGTTTCCACGTGAGTAGATGCCGTAAAGCTTGGAAAGCTGTGCTGAGCGTTTGGATCAGATCGAGGATGTGGCATGAATTTTATGCTCAATGCTGTATCTCGGCATATGCACACTGATCCTTCAAGACAAAAGCTAAAAGACGCAAAGAGAGTGGTGGTAAAGGTCGGCACTGCCGTGGTTGCCAACTCGGATGGAACGATGTCTTTGTCCAGGATGGGAGCTTTGGTGGAGAAGGTGGGAGGAGGAAGCAGATTTCATGCCATGACCTGATCTTGCCCTTCCTTCAGCTTCGTGAGCTCAAGTTGCAAGGACGAGAAGTTCTTCTTGTCAGCAGCGGAGCCATGGGACTTGGTCGGCAGAGTCTTGGACTCTCAAAGGAAGTTGTCGGTCTGTGCTCTAAGTGCTCTCTTTCTTGTCTGAGCTAAAGAAGGAAACCCGGACAACATCATCGACAGACAAGCTTGTGCTGCTGCAGGACAAGAGCTGCTGATGAGGTCTGACATGTTGCAGCTGGAAAAGGGTTCTTTGTTTCATCTCCTGATTCTTGTATGCAGCATGTATCACATGATGTTCAGTCGTCTCGACGTAAGGTGTGCCCAAGTCTTGATCACTCAGGTCGTGATCTCTTTCTCACTGTCTGTCTGGCTGGCTGGCTGGCTGGCTGGCTGGCTGGCTGGCTCTCTGGCGGTCGGTCTGGTTGGAAGTGACTGTGTCTTGCAGGAGGATTTCGTGTCGAGACAGAGATACATGCACCTGACTGACACTTTGGACAAACTTACTTCCTTGGGCACCATTCCCATCATCAACGAAAACGATGTCGTAACAGGTGGAGCACGAGGAGAGCAGGTGAGATTCTGTCGCCCTCCCCCTCCGCACGTTGATTTCCCTCCCAGGTGTTCAGCGACAACGACAAGCTTTCTGCTATCCTTGCAGCAGGAGCCGACGCTGACGGACTGGCTCTGTTGACAGACGTTGAAGCTGTCTTCACCAAGCCCCCGGGAGAGCCTGGAGCGGGTGAGGGGGCGAGGAGGACACGCCTCTGTGATCTCTTGTTGCTCAGAAAGGATAAAAATCTACAAGGAAGCTGATACAGTAGAGATCGGCGCTAAATCTGGCATGGGAAGAGGCGGCATGGCGGCAAAGATCACAGCAGCACGTGTTGCCGCACGAGGAGGGGTTGCCACGTGCATCGCATCAGGTGAGAGGGAACAGCAAAAGGAGGAGCAAAAGAAGGAGCTAAGACTGATGGTCAGGTTATGACCTGGAAAACATCACCAAAGTATTCGGAGGCCTCGATGTGGGAACATACTTCGAGCCTGACACGCGTCCCAACAAGCGGCAGAGGTCTCACAGGGGAGTTGAGCTGACACGGCACTGAGGAGCTGCTTAGGTGGCTGACGCTTGCGACCGAGTGCGTTGGGAAGCTGATCGTGGGGGCCAAATTCAGAGAAGCTCTAGAGGTGCCGGATAAGGTGTTGGGGAGATGTGCTGAGAGCTACTGTAGAGAGGGACAGATCCAACGCTCTACGTGTCCGACCTGATCGGAGTCTCCGGATCGTTTCCTGTCCGTTCGGTCATCTCGCTGTGAGCGTCTTTGCGTCCCCGTGCTCTCCTCAACGCTCTGCTGACCTGCTCCTGCTCTGCAGCATCGACGAGGACGGACACGAGTTTGCAAGAGGTGAGCGACGCCCCCCGAGCTCGGCTGGAGTGAAGCTGTTGGCAGGCATCACACAGAAGAAGTCAGCGGAGATCAAGGATGCGCTTCCGACGTCAGCAGGTGACGCTTCTCCGTCTCCTCACGTGCTCGAGGGCTCACGCGCTGTCAGGCAAGCAGCACAGCACCTTCACGACTGTCCATGTCGTCATTCAGCCTTCCGACATTCTTTTACTCGGATGATTCGTGAAAATCTCGAATTCCACAGCAAAATTCGACATTATGTGATGGAAGCTCAACACAATAAACCAATCATATCGCAATCGTCGAGATATAACGCCGGGCCGCAGAGCAGTCGGTTGCTTACTCCCGTCCCTCTGCTAACCCTCAAGCTCTTCACTCCCTTCACAGTCCTAAGCCTCTCCCCCCATCCTCGTCCCTCACTCGTCATCCCCCTCGTCCAGCAAGGCGAATGGATTCTTGAACGATTCCTTCTCCTTTGGAGGGGCTGCTGCCTCCGCCGCTTTCTTTGGCTCCTCTTTCTTCGGTGCTCTCTTCTGCGAACGCGGGGACATCAGTTGGCACCATCGAGCAAGCAAGGCTCACCTCAGCAGCTGCTTCACCCGCCGCTTTTTTATCACCCCCGCTATGAGTATCTTGCGCGTTCCTCTTCTCGTGGTGATTTCCCGAAGTATTCTTGTCCTTGGGGAAACGCTTTTCCTTCCCTCCCTGTCCTTCACCATCCTTGAAGTCTTTGCCTTCTCTGCGCAAACGTCACTTCCCTCGTGGCGTTCGCAGCTCAACCAACCTGGGCGGCCTCTGCTCACGTCGAGGCTTCGGCTCAGGTGGCTTTGCGTTCTCTCGCCAGTCGCCCGGGAGATCTTTAGGCTCCTCGCGCTTCTTACCTGCACCACGTCCAGCTCCTTTCTCATCACGTTCAGCAAGCCTTCGCTTCTCCTCCTGTTCGCGTTTGCGTTCTTCCGCACGGGCAGCTCTCTCTTCAGCCTTCCTGCGCTCATACTCTGCCTCGTCCCTTGGCTTGGCTTCTCCAAAAGGGTTCGATTTCTCCCGCCTGTCAGACTTGGCGTCCGAAGACTTGGCGTCTGAATCTGAGCCCTGAGTGTTAACGCTGGCCTGAAACCTCTTTGTCATCCAATCTGCGTCATTCTCGTCCAGATCAAACTCAGTCGCCTTGAGTCCAGGCCTGGCTCTGTCCCTCTCAACTTTACGTTCACGAGGAGGAGGACGTTCTGGACGAGATGGTGCACGGCTTTCCGCGACTTCACAGCGAATGGGGCGGTCACGGAAAGGCTTTTCAAGAAGCATGGCGTTCCTGAGACTTTCTGCGTCCTCAAAATCGACGAAGATCATTTTGACCTTCCCCGAGTCCTTGTGCAACATTACTCTCACACTCTCCACTTTGATGGCATCGCCATCGTGGTAGTGCCTGCCGATCTCTCCCTCCGTGATGTCGAAGGCCACGCGCGGGTCGATCCCGATGAAGGCAGTGAATGGACCCTTCTCTGGGATTCTCGAGAGCATCTCCTCCGTGGGAGGCTCCCAGCTGTGGGAGGGAGGACCATCCCTCCTCCTGTCGCGATCGCGCGGGTAGCTATCTCTTGGAAAGTCGTCATAGTCCCTACGGTAGGAGCCTCCACGGTCAGGGTAACGACCTCCATCCATGCCGTCGTGCCGGTTGTCATCGAATCGGCCTCTTCCTCCACGATCGCGGTCCCCGCGATCGCGGCGGTCAGGCTCCATCCTGCCTCTGGACCCGAGGCCATCGCTACCACGAAGACCCCCTCCTCGGCCTTCGTCACGAGCATCTGGCACCGTGATGAGAGTTCTTGGTGACATGACGTAGTGCTCACCTCGATCTACATCTCGATTCTCGTTCTGAGGAGCGACATCAGCAGGCCCCTGGACACCAGTCAAGGGAGTTTACTGATCATTTCAGCCCTCAAGTACCTCGAAGTCCTCGAAGACAACACCTGCGGGCTTCACAGGCTCAACCTTCTTCCAGGGATTGGCAGCAAGAGGAGGGACGTCGCTGAAATCGGGTTTCGCGTCCACATCCTCTGCATCATCAGCCCAAGAGTTCGACCGGACCATACCCGACATGCTCACGAAGGTCAAGGATTCCTCCTGCTTGACCCTGCCAAGAAACATGTTAACTTTTCATTCCTCCTCACAGAAATGCAGATCTTGACAATGAAGGGGAGACTTCGGTGAGGAATTAGAGCCAACAGCAAACTTGTAGAGAATTGGATCAAAAATTACTCACACGCGATCAGGTACTGGTGTATCAAGTCTTTTTCAGCCATCACACATATGATTTCTGCCAAACCTTCCCGATCCTAGCTAATGCCATCCATGTCCATGCACAATCCGTTTACAGCATCCACTGATACAGTATCGAACAAGAACAAAAATGCGGAATCTTTTCACTGAGGGAATTACTTCGTCGTATCTAACATCAGTGCTCACAAGGACTCTTACACAAGAACCTAGTTCCTCACACCCTCTTGCTCGCTTGAAGGGATCCTGTCATCCCCTCTGCTGAAGCCGAGCCCTTTGGAGCAATGCTCTCGTCCCTCCCGTTCAATGATTGTCATAATTCTCGTCATTCTACCTTGATATGAATGTCTAGAAACTCTTATGGCTCCATGTCCTTCTTACTCCATGAACAGCTTGCTCAACTCGTTCGCTTCATCTTCCTCTCCGTCCTCGACCTCCTCCTTCTCATCCTTGTCCAGCATACAAGCATCCTACTATTTTGCTCAGTCTCCTCGCTCTTCTAGACATCACACTGGTGCTGACCCTCCTCCCCCTCCTCTGCCTGCGCCGCCATTTTCCCATCCTCGACCGCATCGTCATTGCACGCGCCCTTTACCCCCACCCACCCCTTCTGTTCCATTAAAACTACCCCGCTTTGCAGCTATCACAAGGGTACTCAGATGGAAACAAGGGGTACAATCTCTATGCCTCACTCAGGAGGGATAGGGTGTCCTCTTCTAGTATGGGGTAGTAATGCAGCAATGGCGGGAGAGGGGTGGGGTTAGGGTATACCCTACCCCAAGGAAAATAACCCCTAACATGTGATGGACCCACCGAGCTCGAGTGATCGCACGGACTGACTACCCCCTCTTTCAGTACCACCCACCAGTTAGAAATATACGGCTACCCCTCCCCTACATCACCCCTACGTCGTACCCCCTGCCATGTCCAAGAGGACAGCAAGGACCCAGCAAGAGACCCTCATCCCCCAACACGTTGAACGTTGAAACTTCAGTGAAACTTAGCGGATCTGCACCTTCCGATCTTCCGATTGATTCGGCTCTCAGCTTATTAGGGAGAACAATGCAGACAGGCTCTGTTGTCAGACAAACAATACACTGAGATTTTACTCCGCCTGTACATACCACCAGCAACATCGTAATTAATCTACACATATCTCTCGTTCTCGTTCTCTCTTCGTTCTCGTTTTCTCACGAAGCTCTCCTTCTCTCCCTCTTGGAGACCATGCCCCGCTTCCTTTCTCTTGCCAAGCGTCCAGCTCTTGAACACTCTGGCAGTTGCCTCCTGAACCAACGGGTCAACAAGGAGGAGGAGTTCGAGACAGCCGCACCATCATCTCCTTCCTGCTGTCTGCAGCTATAAGGCGAGCAGCGCGAGAGAAGAGCGAAGAGCTGTCAGAGCTCTGGCTCGCATGCTCGGAGCTCTCCCTCAGCATCTGCTTCACCGATTCCTTCCATTTGGTGGCCTCGAGCTCCTGCAGGAAGGAAAGGCAGAGATGCTCCCATACGCCTCGAACAGACACTGCAAGCGCGTCAGGCAAGAGCGAACGCGAGAGGAGGAGCTAACCTGCAGGGTGGCTCTGGTCGAAGCAACTCTGTACATGCTGCTGGAACACCTTGAAGGATTCGCTTCGTAACTTGAAAAGACTGCGATCCGAGAGGAAGTCCTGCAGACTTCGCTCCTCCCTCCTACTCTGCGTCCCGTTCTCCTCTACCTCTTGGTCGTAGTTGGCTGCAATGTCTGCGAGGCTCGACCCGCTGCCATGTCGGCCTCCTGAAGCGACGGGAGAATGAGGAGCCTGAGGCGCATGACTGGTGAGGGATGTACAGGCGCACGGTTCAGCAAACCGTTGCAGGAGGAGGCGGAGGAGGCGGCGGGTTGGGCACGCTTCTCAACTTGGGAGAGACGATAGGATTCTCATGCTAGGCGGAAGGAAACTCAGTTTCAAGCCGCAGGTGAAGGAGGATTTCTTACCAACCCATTAACGCGACTGCCCTGCAGTCTCTCCGCCTTGGTGTGTGTTTGGCTGACCTGTGAGAGTGGTCAGGACCGCGAGTGCAAGTGACATGAACCTGATGGTCCGCAGGGTGCGACCCGTTCCTCCTCTCATAGTCAAGCTGCTCCAGCACAAGTCAGACCCGAGCGATGAGCATCTTGACACTGCAGGCTCACGTGCGATCTGGCTGATGTTCCGTCCTGGGACTGAGACTGGTCCTCCGAGTCACTTTCATTCTGCACGAGTGATTCTGTGCGTGGAAATCGCCTGCAAAGTCACGAGGCAGGTGAGAGGGGTGAAGATCGAGCTCAGTAGCGACCTTGCATAGAAGAGGATGTAAGCATTCTGCCTCAGGGCCGTATCCAAGTCAACTTTCATCGTATGACTGCAAGTTCCTCAGCTCCTGTCCCCCACCTTACTCCTCTCCCACCTGTCATCCATCTGGTACCAACTACCCTCCTTGTGCTTGCACGCATGCTTCACGTACGACAAGTAGTGTCCATATTGCAAGCTTGAGCCCTCGTGAACAAGAACCTGCTGTGAGATCAGATAGACCAGCCCTGCCTTCTCCTCCTTTCCCTTGGCCTTTCGCCTTCTCCTCGACCTTCTCCTACTCACCCCATATAAATCATAGATCGAGTTGTTGAAGTGTCTCTCAGGACTGCATAAGGAGTTTAGTTGCGCCACAATGAGATCAAGTGTGGTACACCACCTTGTAAGATATGGTCTCATGTCCAAGACGGCTGGATAAGAGATCGATCGGCTGATCTTTCCTCCATGCAATCCCCTGTCCAATCAATTTTCAGCGTTCCTTAGCTCGAAGCATTCTTTTCCTCTCCTTCTCATCCTTGCCCAACACCCCATGTGTTGCTTACCAGAAACTGAATCGCTTGAGCTGTACCACAAGAATGTTGGGCAGCGTGTGTATCCTCAGCTGTTTAGTCGCCTGGGGTGGCCAAATAGTCAGGGTTGTTGATATAAGCTTTTTGTCTCACTCACTTGACTTCGTCGTTTGCATTTTTCACACAGATAGGCGTTACTCATCCCAAGTTGCTCTTCGATGGTGTACTGCAAGAGACAATCTGCTCCACAAGGTCACAGCCGATCAGCAAGTACCTTCAAGCGAGGCACCTTCCAGCGTGTTCGCATTCTGAATCTCAAGAGCCAAATCCGTGATGAGATCGAAGGTCTTGGAAGATCCTCCGCAGCTACGACATCTCACCTGCACGGCATCAGGGCCACAGAGTTGACAGAGACGCACTCATCACTTCACTGCAGATCTTTCCACCAAAGATCTGATGAATGCAAGTGGTCAACTCCAGATGTCGATTCTTCGATAGCCATTCCTGTACGAGAATAATTGAGAATTCGCCACTATCATGCGCTGCTGCATACTTGTGGAATGTTGTACGCTTTCTTGTAAGCTTCGAGCTCTAACCTGATGACAAGTGAGGGGAGGGAAGAGTTCATCTGCATGGTGCCTGTGAAGCTTCTCTAACAGGTTTACAAGGTATTCGTGGGCATCCTCTTGTTCACCAACGTGATGCGATTTGATAATGTTGTCTGGCATGTAGAATCTTAGTGGTCGAGAGAAGTGGGTTGAGCAAACCTACCAAGATGCTTGAAGAAAGGCATTGGTCGCAAAGAAGTGTTTGAAGATTGAATCATCTTTAAACCGCATAAGCAGCATAGGCCTCTGAAAAGTAGTACTTCACCTTCATCATGCAGTTTTCGAAAGTTGCGTGGAAGTCCGACTTTAGGTCATGACGTTCCAGAAATTTGACATGGCTTTGCATAAAACTTCAAGTCATCCCAAGTATGTAGGCATTCTTTTCAACCTATTTTCTGTCTCCATCTTGTTAATAAGGGTTGGAGTAGCTACCAAACACTGTAATCGTGTCAGTTAAACGAAGTGCGAACCGAAGCAAGGTTACCTGCAGGACCGAATTCATGAAGCATGTGTTGCCCAAATTTACCAGTCCGCTGCTTCCTGCGATCTCAAGCTGCCAGACGTTCTCAAGACATCGAGCGGGGAAGAATTCGTCTGCTTTAGCCGCTGAGAAGGAGAAAGATGTAAGAACGAACAGACTCAAGTCAGGGAGGAATAAAAACCAGCAGGCGCTGTAGCTCCATTATCTGGCATATCCGGGTACTGGATGCCTGCGATCTCAGAGAGAGCGGCAGGAGAGATCCAGCATCTTGCTGTTGTAGACTAGTCAGCAGCACCTCATCGTCTCTGATCTTCACCTAAGACATCGCAATCCTTTTCCTCCCACGGCTTCACAAATCTGAGGATACCCTGCAGAAAGCTTCAGATTGTTCCTCGAGTACTGAGGATGGAAAGATGCAGTATTGCACGTGCCAATGCACTTCACAGGAATCTTTTCAATGTTATCACTCCAACATCTCCCAGTGATCTGATGCACTTTTCTGCTAGCTGCTCGCCCGTAAAAAGTTTCCTCGTTGACACTCTTAGCTCTGCCTTCCGCTCACCACTTGTTCTATTTGCTCTCTCCTCTGATCAATCATCTCATGAAGACAGAAGTTTCATCGCTCATCAATCCATTGCTGCTTCATTCCCTTGATAGCTTCATCCATGCTGGGCGGTCATCCTACACGTTTGATCCTTCGTCAACGTCCCTCACTGCTTTCTCGCACTCAACTATCTCTCTCGCTCTCACAGTGATATGCCATCCCGCTGCTCGTTTCGCTCTCCCCTCTCTCCCCTATCTTTCACCCCCTTGCCCAGCTCCGTCCGTCACCTTCCGCCCCTTTACCGCACAAACCCCATTTCTCCATCTTTTCGCTTTCCTCCTCCCCGCCATTACTTAGTAGTGGGTAGGGGACAGACGATGAAGGGTACCTTTTTGAAGAAAGAGGTACAGGTTTTCAAGTACCCCCTTCTTTACCCGTATTTCTTAGTCATGATTACCAGTAATGAAATTTCAAGTACCGGTACTTGTATGATAAAGGGGGTAGGTAAACACATGACACGGGTGGACGAATCACGTGGGTATCTTCCTTCTGAGGAACAACTTGAGTTGAAATTATGTCCTTTACAAGGAACAAATCTCCCCGGCCCGGCCCGGGCCTGCCACAAGCCTGAGTGCGGTACTGCGGCAGCCGATCACTTGGAGAATGTAACGGTCATAACGGTGATACAATCAAAGTAACTAAATATAACGACCAAGTTAACCGTCGGCATGGCGGAGGAAGGGGGTAGGAAAGGGCACAGAGAAGAAGGGAGAGACAGAGGAAGAGAGGAAGAGAGCGGCAGGAGGAGTCGATACTTGTAAGCTGACACAACAAACCGAAGAATGGGACAAGATATGCAATCGAATATCTTGTGGAGCTGAAACCTGTAAAAATTAGCCTCGTTCACCTACAGCTCTTCAGTTAAAGCCGATCAAAGCCACGGATGTACACTGAATGGGTATGAAGACAGCTCCATCTTAGAAGAAATCTTTTTTACATCATCTTTACCGACTGAGGCTGAAAGTTTCTTCGGAGTTCTTTACACTTTTTGTCGAGGGTTCACGTGACATTTGAAACTGTGTGAGATGGATAGGAACGGGATGTTGTAGGAGGTCTTCCATCCGATGGTAGCTGCAGCATCACGGATTGAAGGGAACATGGGAGAGGGAATAAACAGGGAGCCTTCATTCCAGGAGGAGGAAGATGAATTCTCCGGCGTCTACTCCATAGACGTTGCAGTGCGGGTGCGACCGTTGAATAGTATGGAGCTAGCGGACTCGCAGCTGCACACTGTGCGCGTGATGGATGAGAAGATAGTTGTGGTGCTCGATCCTTCCAAGCTGGAGGGCGGGAACGAAGACGACTACCTCCGAGCGCACAGGTGAGTGTTGGGCTCTTGATAACCCCCTTGCTGTTTCCTGAGGTTTTGGACGTAGGTCAAGGGAAAGGAGGTACACATTTGATCATGTCTTTGATGAGACGGCCTCACAGCAAAAGGTAAGAGTTTCTATCATGTGCTCCTACTCAAGAGTTCTCTTGATCACTCGTCCTTGCCCACTTCAGGTGTATGCCGCAACGACTGAGAAGCTCATTGGGGGAGTGATGGAGGGGTTTAATGCAAGCTGCTTTGCGTACGGCGCAACAGGGGCAGGAAAGACTTACACAATGTTGGGGAATAAGGAGAATCCAGGATGCATGCTCCTGACAGTTGGGGAGCTTTTCCATCGAATCGAAGATGACACGTCGAAGACTTATAGGGTGTACCTGACGTACCTCGAAGTTTATAACGAGAACATCCGCGACCTGCTGAACCCGAGCACGGGATATCTCGACCTGCGAGAGGACCCGGTGAAGGGTATCTGTGTGGCTGGAATCACTGAATTCAGCACAACCAACGTGGGGGAGACGATGGAGCTGTTGCAGAGGGGGAACCTGAACCGGACTGTGGAACCAACCAAGAAGAACGAGACGTCTTCGCGATCGCATGCGGTGATGCAGATCATGATTGAGGCGAAGGAGAAGACAGCGGACATCAGTGAACAGGTCAAGATCGGAAAGCTGTCCTTGATCGACCTCGCAGGCTCCGAAAGAGCTTCAGCAACTGACAATAGAGGTGCTCGGCTTGTGGAAGGAGCAAATATTAACAGGTCTCTCCTTGCTCTTGCGAACTGCATCAATGCTCTCGCATCGGATAGCGAGGCAGCAGCTCGGGCCGGAAGGAATGGGCGGAGGCGCGTGCGATCCAACTTCGTGCCATACCGAGACTCGAAGCTGACTCGACTGCTGAAAGATTCCTTCGGAGGAAACAGCCGAACGGTCATGATCACCAACGTATCACCGGCAGGCAACCAGTACGAGGAGACGGTAAACACACTCAAGTACGCGAACAGAGCCAAAGACATTAAGACCAAGGTCGTGCAGAACGTGGTGGAGCTGGATGCGCACGTGCTGCAGTACCAGAACATCATCCGCGAGCTGCGGTCGGAAGTCAACGAGCTCAAGCTGCAGCTTGCTATGCGAGAACACCACGTTCCTCTTCCTAGCATCGGGGTCAAGAAGGAGAGGAGCGGGGCAGGCTCGCCGTTTGAGGTGCCGAGAAGCGGGTCGGTCATGTCGGGGAAGGAAGAGAAGGAGGAGGAGAGCGTGGAGCTGCTCAACCTGAGGAAGAGCATGGGGCGATCAGGACGCTCGAGGAGAGACGTCCGCACTCAGGTATGACTAGTGTGCTGGAGTCCCCTCCTCCTTCCTTGGCCTCCTGCTCCCTCCTCCTGAGCTGCTCCCTCCTGAGCTGCTCCCCAGACCTCTTGTTGTCGTTCTGTATCTCACTTGAGTCCCGCCAGATGAGCGAAGATGCGCAAGAGCTGGCGACGCGAGCGAAGGGAATCTTCAAAGACCGTGCCAGACTGCTGCGAAGGCTCATCGACATCGAGGAAGCGATCTACAGCTCCAAGATCGACCTTGCCGTAATCGGAGTGAGGAAGCGAAGGGAGGAGGAGGGGGAGGAGCGGAAGACTTCCAGCCCGTCGGGAGATGAGGAAAAGGATGAAGCTGAGCTTCAAAAGCAGATCAAAGAAAAGGTGCTGAACACTCCTCCTCCTCCTCCTCCTCCTCCTCTGCCTTCTATCCTGCCTGTCCTTCGCTATCTTGTTGTCATTTCATTCTTCGCTCTCCCATCTCTTTCATTCCTCTCCTTCCTCTTACTCGTCCTCCCTTGCAGGAGCGGCAAGTTGCCGCATTGGTCTCGAAGCTACGGGAGAACGAGGAGGCCGGCAAGGAGATTCAGCTGGCGATGAAGAAGAGGATCGCGGACCCCAACCAGCTCGAGCGACTGGCCATGCTCGTCAAGAACCACATCCTCGAGATTCAAAACATCGAGCTGCAGCTCCGTGACCGTGCCAAGGAACAGCTCAGCCATCGCCTCCTCAACGAGGTTGGAAGGAACAGCCAGATCGCCTCCTTCCTCCCCAAGATCGACATCGCCCGACGCCCTGTCTCTCCCAGCAGACAGGTCTGCTGATCCCGCCCCACCTGCCCCTCCCATACACTTGTTCCTGTTGCTTCTCCCTCCTGATCTGCTTGGCTCCTCCTCCTCCCTCCCGGCAAAGCGCGAAGCCTAACAACTTCTCAGCTCTTCACTCCCTCGACGCGCGTTCCTCCTGCTGTTCGAGGCATGCAGGTGAGCAGAAATCCTCTGCGGCCCCTTCGCTTTCTCCTCTCGCCTGCGCCGTATCCCCTTCGTTTCTGCTCCTCTTCCCTGTCGCTCTCCTCGTCGTTATTTTACTCCCCCCCTTCTCCTCCTCTCGACCTGACTGTCGCTTAAGGCGTTCGGAAACGCCGCAGAAATCACATCAAGTCGCGTCTACCAGCTGGGCAGGTAGAGCAGCAGCAGAGGACAGCGGGGAGAGCGAGAGGGTGGGGAAGGGCAGGAGCAAGGAGGGTGGAAACTTTATTTGTCTGAGTTTTTGCCATCCAGCCGCTTGGGCAGCATCTACATGGAATTAGACGAGGAGGAAAGCGATACTGTCAAGGACGGACAGCAGGGGTAGACTCCTTTCCTTTCCTCCTGTCGCCTTCATGACCAGAATCACTCTTCTCCCTTCCTCCTCCTCCTCCTCCTCCACTCTCCTTCCCTTCCCTCCTATCATTCCTCAACCTCTTCCCTCCTCCACTTTTCTCCTCTACTTCCTCTTTCCTCCTACATCTTTCACTTTTCTTTCCGCTCCTTGTAGTCGAACGCTAATCTTCTCACATTGCCTTGCAGGACCCAAGAGGCGTCGAGGAGGAGCAGCGTGAGGAGCAGCGTGGAGGCAACGGATGTGATCGTGTCAGACGTGCCGACTGTTGACCCCGTGGAGGAGCTGAAGAAAGGAGACACAGTGAGAATATCTCCTGCCCGCGTCGATAAGGTGAGAAGAAGGGGAGGCGTGGAGAGGGAGGGAAGGAGGAAACCAGGACGATGAGGTGGGGGGTTGAAAGAACGAGGACGAGGACGTGGAAGAGGACGAGACTTATATTAACAACAGAAGGCACCTCGAGGAGGAAGTGGAAACGCACAACAGACGAGCCACGAATCTATCCAAGAGCGACAGATTGAGAGGTGAGGAGAGGATGTAGGAGGGAGGATGGAGACGTGCTGACAAATGCGAAGATACCGCGAGAGGCTGCAGCAGAGACAAGAAGTTCTCCGCAAGCAGAAGGAGTTCCAAGCTGCTCATTCCGACAGGTGGAAAATCATCTCTACCTTCTCCCCGCTGACTCGACAATCTTGCATAGAAAACGATACCGGCAGATGGCAGAAAGAAGGTGGGACATTCCCTCTCTCGAGCCTTCGTCCACATCATCATCATCATCATCATCATTTCTCTGACACAACTTCATTCGGCTTTCTCTGCCTCCGATGCCTCCTCGTTCTGACATGCCAGCAGACAATCCATCGATCGCCCTCCCATTCGTCATCCCAGCGCCGAGAGAAAGGATCTCGCGCTGGAAAGAAAGCTGTCGGACGGTAGCGAGAGGAGGAGATTTACCCCGGAGAAGTCCCAGGGGCAGGTGAAATGCATTTTCCTCCGCATTCTTTTCCCTCCCTCCTCCTTCTCTCACTTTCTGCAAATGTGACCTTTTTCTCTCTCCATCCTCGCCCTCCGACTTCATCCTCCTGTCCTGACTCGTTGTAGGATCAGGGGCTCAACATGGACAAGACGGAAATCAGAAACATCATGAAACCTCTCCAGGTTTGACTTCCTCTCCTCCCCTGCTCTCCGCGCTCTTGCCCTCAGTCCTCTTGCCCTCCCCTCACAATGTTCTCACTCGCTTCACTTGCAGGCGGAAAGTCAGGCAGACCGTCTCCTTGAGCTTCAAGAGCGATACAACCTTGGCAAGCAGGTTCTCCTCCTCCTCCTCCTCCTCCTCCTCCTCCCTCCCTCCCTCCTCCTCCTCCTCCTCCTCCTCCTCCTCCTCCTCCT